GGGGGGGGGCGGACAGGAGCGGGGAGCAGAAGACCACGGAGGAAGGAGGGGAGAGAGTGGAGGATGAACACAGGAATGTAAACTAGAAATTATGAATGTGGAATTATCTGACCCTCGAGCTGCAGAAAAATGATTTTGAAGAGCATTTAAGAGATAAAGGACGGCAGAGAACACCTTTTGCGAGGGGTGGGAATTGCCTAGAAGGCCACGGTGAAGCATATCCCCATCCCGAAGTTGAACGTAGAAATTCGATAAGCGACGATTGGAACGGCTCCCGTCTCTTGCTTGAGTCCAGAGGGTCTCCACAAGGGTTTCTTGCTGGAACTTCTTTGTAGAGTCTTCCTTCAGGATAGGGTCCTTGCACCCTCCCGGCTGCAGCAGATGTGGCCTTGAAAGCTCCTTCCTCGATTCCCTGCCTCCCCTAGCAGGCTTTCCCAGGACCGAGACTCTGGTTTACTTTCCCCCTTCGCCTTGTAATCACAATTCTACATGGCTCACTGCCAAGCATGGCTCTGGCTTCCAAGACAGGAGCTTCTTCGGGTTCCCCAAGAAGTGGAGGAACAGGAAGAGGTTAGTTCGACAGTTCCTTACAGCACCAGCAGATGGCAGTATCAGACCACCTTCCACCGGCTTGCTGGGGGTTTGGGAGTAAGGATGGTTTAAGTGGGAGGTGTGTTTAGGAAGGAGGAAGACTCACAACTAGAGAAATTCTATTCTGTTTGTGGGACTTCAAAACAAATTACCAAGTCAAGAATTCGCAACCTAGTAAACTCCTGTACTTGAGCAAGTTGGTTCAATTTCCCCTCTCATTCCTACAGTTTTCTTTCTTAACCAGGGGCAATACCTTCAGGCTTAATTAAATGGCTTCATTAAACCAGCCTTTTGTCCTGCCCACTTAACAATATGAGGGGCTTTACAAAAGTCCGAGGAAAATTCCATTATCTTTTCATTTTTCCATGAATTTTTTTGCAGCCCTTTCATCTCAACTACACAAAAATGAATTATACATGATTGACATGTTGCATATCAAATGGAATACAAGAGTATTCATTCACTCAAACTCACTGCCATTAAGTCTTTCCAACTCACAATGACCCTGTAGGACAGAGTAGAACTAGTGGGTAAGGCTTCAGAGGCTATACATCTTCATAGGAGTAGACAGTCTCGTCTTTACCCCAAAGGCAGTTGGGTTTGAATTGTCCACGTTGTGGTTAGCAGGCCAATGCTTAAACCAGAGTTCTGTATAAGACTATTTAAAAACCTAATTAAGAACAATATGTTCACCATCTTTGAACTGTGTGATGTTGCTGGAGAACACTGAAAATACTGTAGACTTCTAAAGAATGTGTTTTCTTAGAAGAAATACGACCAGAAGGTTCCTTTGAAGAAAGGGTGGCAAGACTTTGACTTGCTTACGTTGAACATGTCATTAGGAAAGACCAATCACTAGAAAACCTCGTGTTTGATCAGGAGGCGGTCGGAGAAAACAAAGGAAATCCACAGTGAGATGCACCGACACACTAGCCGCACAATGGCCTCATCCCACCAGTTACAAAGAAGGCACCAGACTGTGGCAACATTTTGCGCCCTTAAACTTAAGGTCTCCATGCATCAGAGTCAGCGGAACAGCAGCTAATAGTAATGAGGTGTCAAAATTATATGCCATAAGCTCTGTTTTATTTAGGCTCCATTCCCTGAATAGTCTTAGACCGTCTTCCACAAAAAGATAGTAAAAAAAAATACTAATAATGAGGAAGCATTCAGGATGGTGTGGCTGCAGACGTCTTCCTACTTTTCTATGCTTCATTATTATTAGTTTTATCTGTAAGCGTGTTTTTTTAAATGCTGTTTTAATTTAAAACACAAAATAAAAGATTTAACAGGGTTCTGTGATTCCGAAGTCTCTTAAGTGATTTTGGCACTAGGGAGTACCTGGTTCATCAAATCTTTAAAAAGCTGATAATTAAATCTTAGATTATTTTATTTGATTACCTTGTCAAAAAATGTTTTATTACATTCATAAATTCACAAGAAGGAAACAGGACTCATTGGCATTTAAAATCCTATAATTACTATATAAAGTACTATTGGTATTCAGGGAAGTATTTTACCCAAATTATACATTCATTCTCCTGAACCCTGTAGAATATAAATTGTACCTTCAAGAGAGAGAAAGAAGATGGAGGGGGGGAGAGAGAACACAAAACCCTAGATTGATTCTGAATATTCCCTAATATGCATGGTTAATATTTATCATACTAACATTTTATGCTCACTGTTAATTAGAAAGTGGGATGCTGATAAAGCCTTCAAATTTTAATTTTGAAATACCATACAAATGGTAAATGCACTAAATCTTAGAGACAAAGGCACCAAAGTGTTAGGTGATTGAGGAATGTATGCAGCTCACATTAGGGTTTCCATTAAAACAGAGGTTCTGAGAAAAAGAGGATTGGAAAGTTATAATCTGCATACAGAGGGATTAGAAAGCAAATTAACGCAGCTGCCTATCTTCCATTCTAATAGTATAGAAATTTTAGATAACGGTTTTTAATTAAATAGTTTCTCCTAAGTTTAATTCCTATAGAATAATAATGGCCAATCTACTAAATATTTACTTGATCTGTACAAGTGGAAGAATTCTTGGTCAAGTGAATGACATTCTAACTTGAATTGCCAGACTAAGAGGCCAGTCGATCTCTCCATGGACTTGAGTCCATTTACGGACCCACAGCCCCATGTATGAAGGGAAGGTTGAGTCCCCTTGAGGAAGGATCATGCTTTCAATATCAAATTCTGTCTTAGTTATGTAGTGCTACTATGACAGAAATACCACAAGTAGATGGCTTAAGCAAACATAAATTTAATCTCTCACAGGTAGGGACGTTAGAAGTCCAAACTTAGGGTGTCAGCTCTAGGGAAATACTGTCAGCTCTTAGGGAAGGTCCTTGGATCCTTTCAACATCTGTGGGCCTGGCATTCCTTGAGGATCGTCATGGGTCTTGGCATCAGTCATCCCCTTGGTCTAGGAGGTTCTCAGCACAGGGACCCTGGATCCAAGGGATGTGCTGCACTCTCTATTCTCTGTTCCCTTCCCTCTCCTTTTATCACTTGTAGAACTCAGGCAAGGATGTGACTTGAGTCAGGGTGGTGACTTGAGTCGAGATGTGACTTGGATGAGGGTGGTGACTCAGGACCTCCCCCTGACAAGTCCTGCCTCAGTAACATAGAAAGGGTGGGATTTATAACTCATCGCAAATGGAAGGCTAATTACATGAAATCACAAAACAGAGGACAACCACACAGTATTATGAATCATGGCCTAGACAAGTTGACACATATTTTCAGAAAACAGTTGAATCCATGACAAAGCAAAAGTTTAGCTAAAATAATTCTTAAATATATAACATGCTAGGTTTTAAAAATGCTTGCATATTTAGCACAGCTCTTCCAGGAGGTGTTCAATTATGTACATGTAGGCCCAACAGTTTGTCAAATGTGTGGCTTGAATGTGGCTATGATGCTGTCAGCCATTCCACTGAGAATTCAGAGAGCGGCCTGGTCACCCAGAGTGAGCAGGTTTCAGGGGGGTTTTCAGATGACGACAAACCCCTAAGAAAGACTTGGTGATCTACTTCCAAAAATAAACCAGTGAAAACCCTTTGGTTTTGTCTGATGCAGTGCTGGTTGATGGACTCCTGAGGCTGAAAGGGCTTCCAACTATACAGTGGCTGAAACAATGGCTCCAGAAAGACAGACTCAGAAGGGATTCTCCCGAAGACGTGGCAACGTGGCACAGCGTAGGGAATGTTTTGTCTGTTGGACACGGGGCCACTATTGAGTCAGAATAACAGAATATTGGAAACAG